CCAACTGCTCCCCCTTCTTGAATAACTCTTTCCGTTCACTTTTCAGCAATGCCGCTGCATAACTGATCCCAACTCCAGTTTTAGGAAAGGCACGTGCCTGCTCCCCCACAGTTTCAGCTTCCTTCACACTCGACTTCACCTTGGGTTCACGAAACACCTTTGCCCCACCATCAGCAATGCTCCCCACATTCAGGCCCAACACTTTCTCCTTAGCAGCTGCAATCTTCAGCTGCACCTTGGCCTGAGATTTCTGTTGCTCAAGTGTGACACGCTTGTGCACTACGTTCTCCTTGTCCTCAACAACAACTTGTATCTTGCTCCTTGTGGCCTCTGCACCGTTCTTCTCATTCGCACCAGAAGTATTCCCCTTTTCAACTGCTGCAAGTCGAGCATTGACCTGCTGCAACTGCTGCATTAGCATCTCCACTGTCATTTTCAGCTCCTTTATAGTTTCAGTAGCCACGGTTGCACACTCTCCCTTACACCTGCAGACTACATTTTGCTTCACAGGTACCACTTCCTTCCATGGCACCACCGGCACATGCCACAACTCCTCATGTAGGTCTTTGTCCTCATGCAGGTCCCACAGCACACGATCACCGAGCTGCCCCTTGAATGTTTCAGCTCCATTAGTAGCTGTGCACACGCCTGCAATCCCCATTTGCGTCAGGGAAATAAGATTCCCTTTCAGCTCCCTTGAAGGCTGCTTTACCGACCCCCATCACTTTCATCTTGTGCCCGCATCCTGAAAGCATTTCAGTAAAGCTTGTTTTCCCAATCTCATTCAGCAGATCCGCCCTCGGGGTCATGTGGTGTGCTGCTCCTGAGTCCAGGATCCAAGTGTTGAGGGGAAAAGAATCTGCTCTCTCCTTGGCATATGCTTTCTTGCTTCCCCCATTCCCTTGCACGTGGAAGCACGCTCCCAAGTGTCACCCATTTTTGTTGCAGCCTCTGCTACATAACCAACACCGTTCTCCTCTCCATCATCATCCTCACATCCGGGAGTCCACCACTTGGGCCGCTTCCAGCACCCCGGCTTCTTGCAGTACCAACAGGTGCCCTTGAACCCGCGGTAGCCGCCACGATCATCTTCTTCCTCATCATCACTTTTGCTCCTCTGCTTGTTCTCATCACGCCTATTTCCAAATCCGCCGCTCCCGCCTTGTCCATGTTCACCTTGACCACGACCATTTCCCTTACGCCACTTGCTGCCCTGTACTCCGTACCCACCACACCATCATAGTTTTGGCTCAGCTGCCTCCTCCTAAACTCCTCCTCTAGGATTTTGGTTCGAACCCACTCAAGAGTCCAGAGGCTCTGGTTTTGAGGAAGGCTCAAGCCGCTTGTGAAGACCATCCATGACTCTGGCAGCAGTGACAACATTTTCAAACACTTCGTTTGCTCCGGGTAGGTGATGCCGCCAATTTGCAGTTTTGCATACAACTCTCTCATCTTGTCAAGCACCGGCTGAATCGGCTCCCCTTTACTCATCCGCAATGACGCCAACTCCCGCTCCAGCATGAGCGTTGCAACCACCGAAGTTGGCGTGTGCAACTCCTTGAGCACTTTCCAAGCTTGAGGCCCGCAATTATCCTTTTCCAACAAATGCATCACATGCGATCGCTGGTTCAGCTCCAAGCTCTAAGATATGAGATAGTAGCCAGCGGTCGAACGCTCGTCCCACTCCTCTTGCAGGGCGGGGTCGCTTGGCCTTTTCTCCACGCCCGTCATTAGCTTCAATAATCGGACTTGTCGAAAGTAGAGCTGCATTTTCCACGCCCAATCGTCGTAGCCACTGCCGTTGAACTTGTCGACGACGAAGTTCTTGAGCACATCCTTCAATAGTGGGCCTCGGCTAGTCCGCACTTCCCTTGGCGCTGAACCACCGTCGTCATGGACTCCACTATTAGCTCGTGCCACAGATCCTTCGTTTCCACTCGACTCCATGGTGCTCTAACGGCAGTCCTTAGAACCACAGCTCTGATACCACTTGTTGACCGATATTTGGGACCTAAAGACTCTTAACACACCTTTAATTCACACTAGGTAGTCCCCACGGGGTCACCTCCAAGGGTCCTTGGGTGCCTGGTAGAACCAGCCCCTATCCAAGGGTCCGTGTTTGAAGAGGGATTTCCCTAAGTATGAAAACTATCGTGCGTACTAGAGCGTTCCCAAACTATGTTGCGCAGCGTTGACGACGAAACGGGCTCGTGTGCAGAATAGCTCTTCACATCAATACGTTGATAGAGCAACTTAACTCGTCAAAGAGATTCAGAAAATATTTCTACTAGAAAGGATTGATAACAATCAAGCACAAGCACACGTTTTATATTCCATCTCACATACAAGCAAAGGAAAATAGCGAAACAGTTATTTAACTGCATTCTAGAATTTCGCCTTGCTGTCTTGGAAAACGGTTGCTCAACTCCTTGCGAATTTGGCTTGATTTTCCTCTTGAAAATACCTGTCTTCAAATTCCACATATGACAATTACCTTGCTGACTCAAATGAGTGCACTCATGAGTTCCAATGTAGCCCCAATTTGGCACTCATGAATTTCATGCGAGCAAGCAGTTGTAAAACGGTTTTTACCGTTGAGAAAACAGAATAACCGTTTTGTACCTGCGTCGAAATCATTCCGCAAAGCGGTGTGACTTTCGTCCGCAATTTCTTGTTCCGTGAGTCAACTCTGAAAAACCGTTTTCCAACCGTAAATTCCGAGCACCCTTCGGAATCCCGCAGCACCCACTCGAAACACACGCGCACCCCTCAGGTGCGCAATCATGCACGACCAGACAAACTGGTCGTGCTGAACTGCGCGTGGGAAGGGCGATCATTCGCCCTGTCCTGTTGCGATCGTGGGCCCTGCCACGCTCGCAACAGTGCGCGAGCACACGCTCGGGCCCTTAGGGCCCACACGCGAAATCAAGACCACACGCGCGGTCAAGATTTCGCGTGCTTGACCAGCGCGAAAGTCAACAGCACCCCCTTGACCAGTCAAAGTACACATGATGTCTGATTGAGCCCCTCCCGGTTGCCTTGTGAAAGGGGCGTATAAGCTGAACCGTGCATTTCGCATAATTTTCGTCAATTCGCAGCTAGCTAAAAAGGACTCGCAGGTGCTTATATAAAGGATCGGTAACCTTATCCGTTGACATTTTGACTTCAGTCTCTTCACTTTGACTTCGGTCTGTTCGTTACTATTGGTTCATAACCACGCGACGCGCTTGTAACGTGGGTGCAGGCTGGGGAAAAAACCTCGGGTGCAGCGTTTCCATCCGGCGCAGAGCAAATTCGCGTGCTTGGGGTGGGCATCACTTGTATCGAGCCCCAACAAAAACACCCCACGGTACACCACCCGCTCGTATGAGGCACGCATGAAACATGAAAAAACAAATGGGACTTTCATGGGAATCTCATTTTAGGCTCATTGGAGCTTCATGAGAGCTTTCATTTGAGCTTTCATGAGAGCTTCATTTGAGCGCGTCATGGGAGCCTCATTTGAGCGCTTCATGAGAGCTTCATTTGAGCGCATCAAGTGAGCCTCATTTGAGCGCTTCATGAGAACAGTGAACACGAAACTGAAAATGCACAAACACAAAATGCAATTACAAATGAAAACGAAACACACAAAATGCAAGGACGAATGCGCACAGAACACACACAAAATGCGCACACACAAAATGCAAAATGAAATGAAATTTCTCACGCCACAAATTACCTTCAAACAAAACTCCCCATTTTCTTTTACCGTCGGCGAATAGGCAATAGGTTGCCGTGCAAACCATGTATTGCACTCAACACCCGCCAACCCTGCGAAAATGTTCCCGCCAACAAGCTACACCAGCGCAAGAGAGCCAGATCAAATTGCAACTTACCGGCAAAATGCAACACTGAAACCACGATCGTGTGAAATGCGCACGGTTTCGAACTTCACGCCCTCATCATTTCGGTGGTATAATTTTCGTGCAAACACCCTGGAAGCAGCACTAGGGCACCATTTTCGCATTCCTTGTCAAGCATTTTTTTCACGCTGGCATTCCGTAAACACGATAGAATGTCACAGCGTGTGCACGAAATCAAGATGGGAATCAGGATCGCAAGTGCCGGAGTGTTCACGATGGTACCCCCACTGAATGTTTTCCGTGCGCAATGGTCACATTTTGCACTTAAAGCCCTTTAACATAATTTGGGATTTTGCGTCTGAAAAGTACTATCTTGCATTCCCTTACCCACCATCTAGCACTAGACTGTGCGCACGTTTCTTGAACTTGTGAAATTTTGAACGTGGGCTTTATGTTAGACCCTGGCGTTCCAAAAAATATTTCACGCTGGAACTACAGACACAGGTCTACTTGTGCGTGAAGTGGCTCTCTTTTTCATGGGTGTGCTCGCGCAATTGTCGATTAACGTAGGTGTTTCTCAAAATACATTTGTATATCTGTAGGCTGTAGTGGGGTAGCCCATATAGGGTACAACCAATTTATGGTTGGTACTTGTATCTTGCATCCTGCTCAATACATCCATTTCCTGTTTCCATATTCAAACATGGTATTAGAGTAGGTACGTTCCTTAGGGCCCACCAAACATTCGGCCCTGTCCGGACTTGAAACTTTTATTTTTCCTGCCCTGCTGCCTAGCGCCAGCGCGTGCCTTACTGCCCTGCTACTGAGCGCCCTGCTGCCCTGCCTGAGTGTCAAAATATAATTGTATGCATTATATTGTAACTGCCTGTAGTGTAGACTTAGTGTAGTGCTGATCTTGTTTGGTGGTGCACCTTGCTTGCTTTGCCTATATCCTTGTACCTTCTCTCTTCATTGAACTCCTCATTCCTCTCGCTACTTTCAATACCCTCACCTAGCTTCCTAGGTTCTAACGCTATCTTGACATGGTATTAAGAGCTAGGTCATCCTAAGACCTATTTTTTTTTTCGATCATGGGCCCACCGGATATCGCTTCCTGTATGCCGCTCTTCGCGGCCCCACCTATTTCCCGTCCTCTCACGGCGCTCGTTGCGACCCCCGTGGTGACGGTCGCGACGGTTGCGGGGGCGAGCTGTCCGCGTTCTCCCCGTCGCGCTGCCCGTCGCACTGTCGCATGCATCCCTCGCGCTGCACCTGCGTCTGCCCGTCGCGCTCTGCCCGTGGCGAGCTCGCCAGCGCCGAGCGCCAGCGCGGACGCCCACGCACTGCGCCAGCACGGATGCCAGCGCCGAGCGCCAGCGCGGACGCCAGCGCACAACGCCACCTGCTGTGGGGAGGAAAGGAGGCAGGGGGTGCGTGGCGCCAGCGCTACCACCAGCCGCCAGCGCCGCTCCTGCCCTTTGCCAATCGGCCGTGCGTCCTGCTGTGGAGGGGAGGGTGAAGGGGTGGCGAGAGGAACTCTGCAGCGCCACCCGCTGCCCACCTCCTCTTCTCTCTCCCTGCAGCGCATGTCGCTGTGGGGGGGGAGGGTGAGGGGGTGGCGGGAGTGTGGCTTCAGCACCAGCCGCAGCCACCTCCTCCTTCCTCCTCCTCTCTCCTGTTTTCTGTCCGCTGCTCCTCCTCCTCCTCTCTCTCTCACTGCCGCACGTGCAGCTGTGGGGGGAGGGTGAGGGGGTGGCGGAAGGGGTGCGGTTCAGGGTGGCGACTAAACAAGGGGGGTGAGGTTTAGGGGGGTGGCTGAAAGAGGGTGTGGACTTGGGGGTTCGTAAGAGGGGCTCGCCGCGCTTGGCTCCCCCCACCTCCTCTCCTCCCTCTCTCACCTCCCCCTTTGTAAATGGGGGGTTCGTAAGAGGGGTTCGCCGCGTGGCTCCCCCCCACCTCCTCTCCTCATCTCTCTCTCTCAGCTCCTCCTTGGTAAATCGGGGGTTCGTAAGAGGGGTTCGCCGCGTGGTTCCCCCCACCTCCTCTCCTCATCTCTCTCTCCCGCCTCCTCCTCCTCACTTAACACTCTAGTTATTCCGCTGCGCGTGGTGTACCTCTTCAGGGGGTGTTTCTGCAATTGGTTCTTCACTGCAGGCAGTTAGGGGGTGTGTCAAAATATAATTGTATGCATTATATTGTAACTGCCTGTAGTGTAGACTTAGTGTAGTGCTGATCTTGTTTGGTGGTGCACCTTGCTTGCTTTGCCTATATCCTTGTACCTTCTCTCTTCATTGAACTCCTCATTCCTCTCGCTACTTTCAATACCCTCACCTAGCTTCCTAGGTTCTAACGCTATCTTGACACTGAGCGCCGCCCTGCCCGCATGCGCTCTGCCTGCAGCTGCGCCGCCCTGCCTGCCAGCGCGCTCTGCACGCGCACCCTGCTGCCCACAGCACCAGCGCGCCCTGCTGCCAAGCACACCAGCGCGCCCCACTGCCCCGCGCGCCAACGAGCACCGCTGCCCAACGCGCCAGCGCGCCCCGCTGCCCGACGCGCCAGCGCGCCCTGCTGCCCAGCGCTCCAGCGCGCCCCTCTGCCCAGCGCGCCAGCGCGCCACGCTGCCCAGCGCGCCAGCGCGCCCCGCTGCCCAGCGCGCCAGCACGCCCCGCTGCCCAGCGCGCTACCGCTCCCTGCTGCCCAGCGCCAAGCGCGCCCTACTAAACCCTTAAAAAAAAAAAAAAAAAAAAAAAAAAAAAAAAAAAAAAAAAACCCCTAGGTGCTGCTGCCTTAGGAGCTACTGTCTGCTACTAGCCTAGGTGTTGCCGCCTGCTGCTGCCGCCCTAGGTGCTGCTGCCACCCGAGTGCGCTGCCCTGCGCTACCCTACCCAGCGCTAGTGTCGCCTTGCCTCGAGTGCTGCTACGCTGCTACTGCCGCCTGTGCTACTGCTGCTACGCAATTGCTGCTACTATCTGCCACTGCCTGCCATGGCCACTACCACTGTCCTACGTCAGCAGCAGCCGAGTGTGCAGGAGTCTGTCTCGCCGCAGCAGCTTCGCGAGTGGGCTATCTGGTGGGGCATTCCCGGTGGCGGAGCTAGCCGTGCTCGTCGGCAGAAGCCGGTTTTGCCACAGAAGCGTCGTGTGTGGGCTGTACGGTGGGGTGCTACTACTGGAGGTACCTGTGAGTCTACTCCTGCTGGTAGTGCCACTAGTAGACGTGGAGGTTCTAGGGGTGGACAGCAGCAGCAGCAGCGTCCGCTGGAGACTCTCTCCCCGCAGGAGTTTCGTGAGTGGGCTGTCCGGTGGGGCAGCCACGGTGGCGGAGGGTTTCGGGGTACTCGTACTGGGGGTGTAGAGGCACATGTTGGCGTAGAGGCTACTAGTCTCCTGTCAAACTTATATGCTGCTTATTGTGTAGGCTATAGTGGGGTAGCCCATAAGGGGTACAACCCAATTAGGGTTTCCTACTTGTACCCATCTTGCTGCTAGTTCATTCATTCTCGTTCTTACTTCTGACATGGTTTCAGAGCACGTCCTAGCATAGGACCGGTTTTTTTTAGGGCCCACCGAGTAGCGCTACCCCACCCGTCGCGCCGCAGTGATCGCGCCGCCCTGCCCTGCCCTGCCCTGCGTCGCGCTGCCTGCGCACGCCCTGCCCTGCCCTCCCCGCGCGCCGCCTGCTACAGCGCGCCCTGCTCTGCCCGCGCGCCGCCCGCCGCAGTGCTCTCTGCTTTGCCCGCGCGCCGCCCGCCGCAGCGCGCCCTGCTTGCCCGCGCGCCGTCCGCCGCCACGCCGCCTCGCCCGCGCACCCTGCTTTGCCCGCGCGCCGCCTGCCGCAGCGCGCCCTGCCCTGCCCGCGCGCCGCCCGCTGCATCGCGCCCTGCTTGCCCTCGCGCCGTCCGCCGCCGCGCCGCCTCGCCCGAGCGCCCTGCCCTGCCCGCGCGCCGCCCGCCGCAGCGCGCCCTGCCCTGCCCGCGCGCCGCCCGCAGCAGCGCGCCTTGCTTGTGTTATAGTCTAGAGTCCACTTAGGGGTCGCGGATGCCCATGAAACCGCCTAAGCAGAATCTGATGACTTCGAACCGCCTCTGTTCAAACGCCGTCACGATCAGCTCCGATAACATACGATGCTGAAACTTGAACAGACGTTAGCTTCAGGTGTCCGCTTTCCAGCGGTATAATGGTTCCTTTCATCAGAGGTTTATGCGCTACGCAGTGAACGAAAACGTAAGCTCGGCTGAAAACGTGCAGTTTCATTGATGCAAGGAAGAGGTAAGTACAACATTGCCTAGGGGACTCTTAAGGGTTTGGGACCATCCTGGGAACTCAGAGAAGGTTGAGTCATAGGGGAGAAAGGCTAGAGAAGGATGGGAAACGTCCTAGCTAGGTCAGCAAAGCCAACCACACTTGGATGTTCAGAGCTGTACTCAAGGCTACCAATAGTGAGTCAAGCCAACCATGAGTCAGCTTGTCTTCCCACTTGCACCCTCTTGCAAGCTGCTTCCAGGAAGACCACACTTCTCAAAAGGAGGGTGGTAGAGTCCTACTTGACCACCTGTACTTCTGTCTCATTCTCTGTCCCTGCACCATTGGCATGACAACAATGAAAGGGTGACAAGGGAAATGCTGCCAACAGTGCACCATGACTACGGAACAGTAACTTTCGACAGCTGTCACGTGCTTCTCCGATGCTGGGTTGTCCTGAAACTCAGTGACCACCTGCACAACACGGCAAAAGACTGCCACACCGAGTTTCAGACCAATCAGAGCTTGGTAGATGAGTCAGCAGCCGAAATGGTGAACTCGGGTGTTACCAAAAAGAGTAACACACACTTCCGGGATGCCATAAGTCTTGAAACAAAAAATGTTGCCATGCCTTGTACACTGCTTCAAATTTTCGGAAACTTTGAGGGTCTGAAGAACACATGTTGAAGCACCTCCCCACAAAATTCCAGAATCTGAGCAGGCTTGTAGGCTGAATGGGAGTGCGATGACCGTGCCACTATAGTGCTTTGGCACAACAAACTCCCCCTCATCGTGCTCTCATTCATCCCTTAGCTTCTCCCTGAAGCTGCTCCCTTAGTTGAAGGACATGCCACACAAGGTGGCACAGCTCCAATGCTGATGCTCTGCAAGCCGCTTAGTCAAGAAATCTGCAGGTCGCTTGGTAGTGTTGATGTAGTGCAAGGAGATGGTGCCCTTCTTCACCTCCTTCCTCACCCAATGCCACTTGATATGCATGTGCTTGTTCAGCCCATGGAGCATAGCATTACGCGCCATTGCAATTGCTCCTTGGCTGTCACAAAACACAGGTGTAGGACCCTCTTGCTCCTGCCCCAACTCCTCAAGCAACCTCCTCATCCAAACCACCTCCTTCACTCCATGAAACAACGCCATGTACTCGCTCTCCGTTGATGAGTGAGCTATCTCTCCTTGCTTCTTAGACTTCCAGCTCACTGGAATCCCTCCAACACAGCATATATAGCCACCATGGGATGTAGCATCACTGATGTCACTTGCCCAGGTAGCATCGGTGAAGCACGAGAGGTACAAGTGCCCACGCCTTGCAGGTGCACCAGTCTTTGTGCTCACCTCCTCCACTCCCTTTTGCTTCAGCTGCCCATGCACTGAATATTGCAGCCCCACCCTTGAGGTTGCCATGCAGTACCTCACCAGCCTCTCTGCTGCATCCAGGTGCTCTTGAAGGGGCCTAGACACCACACGAGCGAGCTGTGAAACTGAAAACGCAATGTCGGGGCGAGTGTTGACCGAAGCGTACATCAAGCTCCCCACCATTGACAGGAACCGACGCTGCAACTCGTACTCCAACACCTCACCCTCCTCTTCATCAAGGTGCAGCTGAAACCCTGAGGGTAGAGGAGTCTTCACACTCCTCCCTTCCTCCAGCCCATACTTCTCCCCCATGGCTGCAAGGTACTTGTGTTGGTGAAGCCTCAACCATCCCTTCACCTCGTCTCGCTCCACGTGAAGACCAAGGTAATACCCTACAGGTCCAAGGGCCTTGCATTGAAAGGTCTCTTTTAGCTTTCCTTGCACCTCCTTGATCCTCTCCAGGGATGGAGAGAAGAGGAGGATGTCATCGACGTAGACAAGGAGAAACACCTTCTCCTCCTCCCCCTCGGTTGTGAAGAGACTCTCGTCGCACCCGCTAACTTTGAAGCCAAGAGCCTCCAACACCTCCACCAGCCTTGCATACCAGCACCTTGGAGCTTGTTTGAGGCCATAGATGGCCTTGTTGAGCCTGCAAACACGTCCGCTCCCATCGTCATACCCCTCTGGCTGCTTCATGTAGATCTCCTCATCTACCATGCCATAGAGGAACGCCGTCTTCACATCCATTTGCTCCACCTTCCAGCCACAAACGGCAGCGGCTGCTAGCAACAC